ATTATTTATTAAATTGGAGCTTTAGGATAAAATTAATGGGAAAATAAATAGTGAAAAAAGGTGAAATCTAAAAGCTAATCAAATAATTATTTAATTTATTGCTTATATTTAATTCAAGAATTACCTTATTTAACTGTAAGACAGAATACAAAATAATTTTTTCTTGATTTTTCGATCCAATTATTAGTAATAAGTATTCATTGTATATTCCGCTTATCAGAATCTTGGTTAATAAAACGAACTTTATTAATTTAATAATGTTTTGTTGAAGAACTTTTAAATAACAAGTAAAATAGACTGTTTGAAGGCATTGACAAATCATCACTTATGCAAAAAAATATTGCACTAATTAAACGATTTATAGTGCTAATTAAGACTTATAGCAGTTAAATATTTAATTGTACTATCGTAACGGGTAAGTTAAAAATTATATGAACGATAGAAATATTAATAATAGATAATAGACACAATAATAGATGAAACCAGGGTTTATAATCGATAAGTATTTTTTCCATAAAATCATGTAATAATTCTCATATTTGATTTTTAATTTTAAAAATATGCCTGATTTATAAATAAACATTTAAATCGATCTTTGATGTTTAGTGATTCGATTAAAAATTATGATCACTCACAGAGTGAAAATGTTTTACATATATAATAATGATTAAATTATGAAAAATAAAGAATTTGATCAAAAAATAAAAATCACCTTTTACACACTAATTAAATAAAATATTAATATGCATATTTACGTTATTAATGTACAAATTTTTAAAATAGTATATTTATGAAATCGCTTTAATTGTGGTCTGTACCTGCACATTATATATTTATATATATATTTTTTTTTGTGAAATCCAAAATTTCTAATGATTATCTGAAATAAAGATGTTCTGTTCCTAGTAGTTGAAAATAATATTCTTCACTTACTCCTCCAGACTCAAAATATATCGTAGAGATTAGGAAAAAATATTTTTGATTTTAAAAAATATTGTAAAAATTTTGGTAAAAATAATCAGGATGTGATTTTTATTACTTATTATCAAAAATAAAAATTATTCTAAATAAAAATGGTAAAAAGATTTTTAAAAATTCCAGATAAATTTTTTTTTTTTTAATTATCGACTTCAAACCGTGGATAAAACCATGCTCACGCAAACTATTAAGCGAGCTATAAAAATACTTGGGCAACGTTTCAAGTTTATTTATATCTGGTGCATAATTCAGAGGTTATGGAATGTCAGAACTCTTGTGAAATATTGTTAGTCCCCGCTTTGATATTCCTAAAAAAATAAAATAACCTTTGAGCTATAAAATAAATAAATACGAGTTAGTTGTGACTATCCCAATGTCACCAGCGTTGTCATTGTTTCGTTTAGATAGTAGATAATAAACTTGTCTCAGTTGCAAAGGCATTGATTTAGATAACAATTTAGGCTTTTTCTTAGACCGACGACTAACCTGTAAACCTCATACTAGACTTAAAAGACAGGAACTAAACCGACGATACGGCCAACTATACCGACTACTAAACAGAAAATCTAAACTCTCCATTGAGAACAAGTTACTGATCTACAAGACAATACTGAAACCTAATTGGACTTACGGATTAGATCTATGGGGAACAGCTTAATTTTCTAACATCAAGCGCATCCAATCCTTCCAGTCAAAAGTCCTTCGAACAATAGTCGATGCTCCTTTCTATGTAACCAACAAAACCCTACATCATGACCTCAACGTCCCATTTGTCCTAGACCTTATCCCAGGAAAATTATCCGAATTTCACCAGAACGTTACGTATCATCCAAATCCTCTTGCACAATCCCTATCACTACCCATCCCTATAATCCTCCAAGAAGATTGAAACGGCAGTGGCCTCGCGACCTTATGTAGGTTGTATACATTGGGGTTCTGGCAATGGCCAGATTCTCCTCTCAAGACATGAATGTATGTTGCTAAAGTGCTCTCGATCAATCTGCGCTGGCTTTAGCACCGGTGAGGCGGTTGAGAGAGAAGTGCAGGGTTCTCCAGAAGTTCTCTCGCCTGATAGTAAATAATGTATATAGGTATGCATGTGTTTTTTGTTTAGTTTTAATTTTCTTATTTTAGGTTATTTTATTTTTTTTATTACATGTACTTTTTGATTATTATTTATTGTTATTGAGATTTGTTTTTCGCCCTTGGAAAACCCTCAAATCGGAAAATGAAACTTTTTGCCTCAAATTTCCACCTAATGTGCAGAGTGGGTTCAAATATTTGTTTGAAAAAAAATAATGATGACCGCCATTTCGTTTTTTGACATTTTTATTTGCCAATAACTCAATAATTACACAGATGTTACTGCATCATTTTCTTTTGTAAGTACACATAAAAATAAATGCTCGGAAATATAAAAGTAGAAATTTTTTTTTTTTTGCAAAAATGCAAATTTTTTTGTCTTCCCCAAATCTTTAATAATGAATATCATCAACCATAGAGTACATAGTTAAAATTACAATACATTCTTAACATACAAATGTTACAGGTCAAGTCCATGAAATACAAAAATGGTATAATCTACATAAAGATACAATGGTGGCCAGTAGACCATATTTAATTTCCTTATAATCATTTGTACAGAGATTTCTCCATATTTCTATTGATGAAAAAGTTTGAGAATTTTTTTTTCGAATTTTAATTAATGGCAGCCATTTTTCATCTTTGCGAATTTGCGTTTTCCGTGATGGTTCAAAAACTATGTGTTTTAAAGAAGATTAAACAAACACCGTTTTAAAGACAATTTTTTAAGCTAAAAAAAACTTATTCCTAGCACATTTAAGGATTTATTCCTACTTCTAACACGATAAAAATTGACCTAAAGTTTGAGGCTAAAATTGAATTTAAAAAATCCGTTTTCAAATTTAGAACAGATCGTTTTTACTAAATTTAAGACAGAAAATAAAATTTATAAATACGTTGTCTTTGACCAACTGATTGACTATAAAAGGGTAACCTGATTTGTTTGTGCTCGTTAGTGCGAATATTTTGCTTACTCGCTAACAATAGCTGATTCAGAATTTAATTTTAGAGTTTTTTTTCTTTTATAACTACAATTTATCCGTTACAGAAGGAAAAGTTGTTTAAGTGGTCCTTGAAGGCTTGTTCAGCAAAATAAATTAAATGAAATTCGGTATTTATATAAACAATAATGCTCTTAGGGATAAATTATCCGTAAAAGTATTATTTTTTTCTTAATACCGGCTTGATTTAGTTTCTTTATGTGGTTTTTAATTCATAAAATAAACATATTAACCTCATATCACTCGAAACAACAAATATGAACCACTAAAAAACCCATTAGTTTTGAATTTAGAGGGAGCCAGTCCAAAAGCCTTACCAGTCACTGTGGATCCACCAGTGCTCGCTATCACAGTTAGAGAGATAAATCGTATACGCAGGGGAGGTTAAAACTTTGTTGTCTCCAGAATCAAAAATTTCTATTCGCATTTTACGTTTTAGACATCAAGTGTAACTAATATAGGTTGGCCGAGCGGGCTAACCCGTTTGCGAATTCCTGTGTAGCCTAGAAGCGAGATAGGGTTGGAAAAAAAAAATTGTATGTAATTCGGAGCGTATTGGCCTAGAGAGCCAACACTTGTGAGAGCACGCGTTGCCCGACAACCTCTTCAGCTGAAAATAATAGGATAAAAAATAATTATGAGTTTTAGTCCCTGTGCCAGGGGGAAGAGGGGGGAGGAAGCCTTACAACTCTTCCCTAGTCCGGGGATAACCCCGTATTGCCTAAAAGGCAAGGAAAGGAATTGACAATAAAATAAAGATGTAACTAATTTAGGGAGACAATTCTCTGTAACGGACAGAGATTTTCCTCAACTAATGGGAAATATTTCATATACGGATTGAAAGAAGTAGCACCAACCCACTTCTCTCTGCCAGAAGAAGTAGGAGTTCTGACAAGGCAGAACTGCAATGAAGAGCAACAAGCTCTGTGCACAGCTGAGGAATAAAAAAGTAAATTGTATAAAAATGCAAATACACGTTTTCCTAAAAGGCAGATAAGGGTTGGGATAAATAAAATATAACTTATTTGATTCTGTATTTGTCTGATGGTAAGCTTATTCTAAGTCAAATCTAGGTGTTAACCCTTAATCCAATTTTCATTTTTTTTTTTTTTTTTACAGAAATCGTGCGGGTTTAAATCGAATTTTAATAAAAATATTTCATGGGCTTAATGAAAAGTAGGTGAGTAATGTTTCGAAACGTAAACTGTGATTGGATTCGTTAAAGCATAAAAATGGAAAATATGAAAGTTTTAAATATCTCGACTTTTAATTTGTCATTTCTGAAACAAATATTGATAAAAGCACTTGCTTTTGTATTGTTATTGCAAATTATTATATTGTATACTTTTTAAGCGGTATACATTTGCAAGTGGATGTGAAACTTGACCGCTTACACTAAGGGATGAGCAGCGTCTTAAGGTTTTCGAAAATAAAGTATTGCGTAGAATATTCGGACCGAAGAAGGATGAGTTAACCGGAGAGTTCAGACGGTTACACAACGCCGAATTGAGTGAGCTGTATCCGGGTAATATAATTGAGGTAATTTCATCGCGGCGAATCAAATGGGTTTGTAAAGTTGTAGGGCTTAGTAACGAGAGAATTCCTAAAAGATTAATATTTGCTGTGCCGAATGGTAAGCGTCCGAGGGGTAGACCGAAGCGAAGGTGGGAAGATTGTATTAAAGCCGATCAGAAGGGACTGGGTTTGGACGGCGAACGGTGGAGGAAGGTATGTAATAAGCGATTGGTGGTGTCGGTAACGAACCTTCGGGTTCGCTAAGCCTTTTATTATTATTATTATTATTATACATTTGCAAGACTTCTCATGCTTCAATGTTCGAAGACAGCCTATGGCACTACAATTAATGGTGTTGACTTCCAGCATGATGTGTTCATTGCTATACCATTAATTACAAATAAGAGCCATAAAACACTTTTATCAAGCCAGTGGTACTGCCGCTTTGTAGAAGTAAACAAGAAAAACAGGGGCCGAGTACGTGTCCTTGCGACGGCTTCCTTCTCCAGGCGTTAACCCCTTCTTTCCTGGTAGAGTTTGAGTTAAGTTATCCGCTGGGCCGACCCTGATCCGAATTCTACAATAGCCCTCCATCGCTCTGAGATCAGATGAGATGGCTATTATAGAGTCATTCTATCCATAAATTAGCCGAGCCGACACAATGAACATCGCCGCTGCTATGCGAAGGCTGCAGATAAGGTTGCGCTCCTAATTACGCATATATTGCCTTGTGCCCTTAATACAAAACGGTTTCAGTTCGCTATGAATTATTAAATGTGATTATACTGGTAGCAGGAGGGGGCTACAGCCAAATTTTAAAAAATCTATGCACCTCCGCTGTTGGAGAAGTTTTTTTTTTACATTTGACACACACGACTCGAAATTTTCTTTCTTCATTTTTTTAAAACTTAATTTATATATCCACATCTGTCTTATACGGCATTTATAATCAAGTTATTGCCTGCCTAAGTCAAGCATGAGGAAGAAAAAAATTTCCCATCGATATCATTTCCGCATCATTATTTTAGACAAAAATTATATAAATTTAGAGACTATTTCTCCACCACGACCTTTTCAGCCTCCTAGAGGTGTTGCCAGACCTAATGGAAGTACCATTCTTACCATTACATGATTGTTATGTCCCTGTAAATTGTCATGAATCTTTTTTAGTTAGTCGCTGACTTTTGGTATTCTTAGGTCAGTATGCAAAGTTACATTATAGGCTAGTTAAATTAGCACAACAAAGGAGGTCTAGTTGGGTAATTTAAATTTCTTTTTTATTGTTAGGTTTATGGTGAGTATAAAAAAAAATCAAATCCAAGTTTTCGACTACGAAAGCCTTCTCGGCAGTTCTCCAAACCCCATTTAAATGTGGGTTTGTTTTGGTTTATGCTTTGTGTACATTGCGATACAGCTAAAACAAGATTATATTCAATTTTAAACAAATTTAGATTTTCTAACGTCCCTAACGAAACTTCTTATCTTTAATCCAACCGAAAGGAAAATGCTAAAAGTTTTGAAAATTCGCAAAAAAAAAACAACATAATTTGTTGTTTTTAGCTAAATATATGTTGCCCTAGGTTATAAAACTCAAACTTGTTTGTATTAAATATTAAAGTACAAGAATCCTATTCAACTTTTATTGGAAACATATTTTTCTAAACTTAAAAACTTGTCTAAAAATAAATTGATATTTCGAATTTTGAAAATACTTTAACACAATGTTTTGACAATTATGTACGCTCTATTGTGTTCTTATGTCTTTTTACCAATCCAAGGCTAATAGGCTGGCTTCAAACTAAATTCGAGTATTCTTCAACTCTAATTTGAATATCTGGAGATTTTTTCTGGTCTGGAACGGTAGATGATTATCGGAATGTATTCTGATAATATTTAAGCAGGGTAATGGAGAAAGAGTCCAATCCAGTTCTGACGTTATTCTTTTATTTTTGTTTAGTGGCTGTTCGTTGTTCATATTCAGCCTTATATTTCCGTAAAGAGCTTATCAGGGCGCCGTATTAATATTAAGCAATAATATTCACAGTATTCATTAGTTTATAAAGGAATACTTTTCCTGAATGACATATCGTTTGTTTTTTTTTGTTTTTTTTTTGTTTAATGAGCATCTGTGGCTCTAGTGCCCTCCTTCAGTCTCCACTGGCCTACCAGTGGCGCGGCTGGAAGATAGGCACTGGGATCTCCTGGAGTCCTGCTTGGCTGGGAGTTCCCTGGGCGAATGTAAATATTGTTCATAGGAATGAATGTGTTAAGATGATTTATTTTATTTTTACTTATTGATTTATTTTTTATTTCATTTATGTTTGTTATTCTATTTTTATATTTACTTTTTGTTAGTTTACTCATTTATTTATTATTTATTCATTTATTTATTTTTATATTTTATTTTCCTATTATATGTATGTATGGTATGAATGAACACATTTAGCCCTGTTACTTATTGCCCTTCAATGTGGCAGATTGTACTTATAAAATAAATTTAAAAAATTGTTTTTTGTTTAAACAAATTTTGAAACTTTTACTGTGGTATATTTAAAATTTAAATTCTTAAAACAAAATTACTGCATGATAAATTTCAATATGTAACGTTTGTTTTCAAATAACCTTCCATACCTGTGATTTGCCTGAAGTCGCTTCTCTGTCAAATTATTAATTAGCCGTTTTTGAATTAGAAAATATTTAACACTTGATATAAAAAATGTCTCAAAAGCAACAATATATGACGAGGAAAAACCAACATGATAGTATATGGTTAGTATTTAAAAAAATCTATTTATATATGTAAAATATGAAATTAAACAACTCATATATTGTATCAAGCTTCCTAGTCATCGTTCATTAAAGTTGTAAGAATACTCTTTACAAGAATACTGCTAATTGAAATTGATTTTAACACTGAAAATCATGTTTATGAAAACAATTCAGTATTTTAAAAAATACGATAAGTGACATAACTGAACAGTAATTGTTTTAAATTAAAATTTCGTGTTAAATGGCCGTTATCATTATCATAAATCTAGAAACTCCTCTGATTTTTTTATATTCGGTTTAAAGTTCAACAAATATCTGACAAAGCAAAACGATATTTGTTTCATAATCCAGTAACAATCGTTAATGACGAACTCAGATTAGCGAAGTCGCAATGGTGAACTTTTGAATCTGATCTTCAAATTTACAAAAATCTTGAAAAAAACAAATGGTTTTCTTGATTAATTTGTATAATATCATTAATATAAATAATACTTACTGATAATTTATCCAGTTATTAATATTAAAGATATAAATTTTGGCCTACTGCAGAGGTAAAATAAAAAAGAAATTACTTAATTACTAACATATACTTAGGTTTGAAGATCATAATATCATCCTTTAATTAATATATTTGTATTAATTTTTGAAAACTTCGTACGTTAAATCAGAGGTATAACAAAAAACGGAGGTATAGTGAGTTTTAACTTACAACACATTACGGACGTGAGATGGCCAATTTCAATGAAGATTTTTTTATGAGATTTTTATTTATGATACTAGATCAAAAAATATAAAATCTATTTCCTTGCCAATACACCCTAATAGTCGAGAAAAACAACTGTGTGTGTGTATATATATATATATATATATATATATATATATATATATATATATTTTTTTTTTTTTAAGTTAAGTATATATACATATATATATATTATGATATTTCCAGATATTCCATGAACTTCATTGCATTTTAAAATTTTTAAGCTTGAGTTCATATGAAATTTCTAAGCGAATTTTATAATATTATTTATAAATTTAGCTAAACTTGTATGAATTCAGTATAAACATTTTAAAAATGCTTATGTCAATGTCCAAAACTCTTATTTTTGAAAAAAAAAATCTTAGCTAAGAGGTGTGAAATTTATTAGTTGTTCGCTCTAACGATCAATTTTTTTTTCTATAACTGATAACGATGTTAACAGTTATTTTCTATAACAATCTTATTTTCCTACCTATACTAATTTTTTACACCAATGAACACCTCATGATAAAAACGAAATCACACTGATATATTCTTGATGAAGGGAGTTGCGTAGCTAGTAGGGCACTGAGCTTCCAATTCTCAAGGTTCTAGGTTCGAATCCCGGCGTATGACAGATAAATTATTATTCTGTTCCATCGACTGTCCCTGGGGCACACCCAACCTCTATCCCTTAATTAAATAATTTTTAAGGGGGTGGAGGACCAAGACCCTTCATGTAAAGGTTGTAGTGGTACAGATTTTTTTTTTTATCTTTGATGAAGGGAGGTCTTCAGATAAGAAATATTGTTTTAGCATTGAATGTCTAGGACTTTATGATTTCCATAACAGCTGAAGGACAAGTGTCACCTTGAGGCAGAGTTGAGTTTATTAATACTGTGTTGAGGGGGTTGTGTGCGCGTGGCTTTTGTTTGCTTTATCTTAGCATCTTCCTTATAACCGGGAGTCGCCGGTTCCTAACCGCAGACATGGAGAAGCCTCAGCTAATGCCCAGGTTCAAAGCCCGCATCCTCCTCAGGTAAATAAACCTTTATCAGAAAATGTTATTTACAAACCAGGAAGTATCGTTTAAATTCTTACCATTTCGCTTCTGGATTCATTGTGGTTAGCGTGATGAATAGTATTCTAACAAGTTTTAAGTTCCCGAAATAGAGTGAATCATTTTAACTTAATATAATCATATTTATTCTGTATCCAAGTTTTACTAATACTAACTAACCCCCCTTGCTAAAGGGGTTAGTTAAATAAACTTTAACCTGCGTTATTCTTCTCCATTTCTCTCTGTCCTGTTCCTCACTCTTCTTATCGCGAACTCCTACCTTCCTCGCGTTTCTCTCCATTTCAGCCTCCCACCTGCTTCTAGGCAGGTGGTTCTTTTCTTTTTCCCACTGAAGTGAGCTTCTAATATTTTCTTCTGCACCAGTTCATTCTCCATTCTGACCACATGCCCTGCACATTTCAGCCTACTTGCCTTGATGTAGTTAGGGATGTTTTGCTTCACTAATATAGCGTCGATTTGATTTTTTAGCATCCATTAACTATTGTATCATCGTAAATTCTTCTTATTAGTTTCCTTTGAAATACTTTTAGTTTGCGACAAACACCAGGTATCCGCTGCATGCAGGTGCCTTCTTAGTCTTATGGCGCAGAAGTGCCTCGGTCTATAGTTTTCTCGCTTATTAAGAGTACAGAAGTTTGTTACTGAGATAATAGAGGCCATAATTAGGTATTTTTATTAAAAATATCAAAAGTTTTTCTATATTAACAAAATTGTCCAGCGGAGCATAGATCCACCCACCTATGACCAGATTTGTAGTTCGTAATCCGTATTGAAGACCCTTTTTGTCAAATTATTTGTTTGTTTTTTTAGGAGCATTTATAATCTTGAAATAGGCAAACTATGTCTATTTAATCAGGTACTAAAAAATCCTGAACACCCATTTGCTTTCCATTTGAAGTGATATATAATTTGTTAACAAAATCGAGAAAAAAGTGAGGCACAGAAATATTTTAACGTTTGGCGTGATCTTAACTCCCATCATCTCAAAATAACGAAGTTGTATAGGCCAAATGATCCAATAGTTTTATAGGCGAGCTTTTGTTTGGATTTTATGATCAAATTATTTTTGAATCAAGTGGAAACAAATGGGTATTTATGAGTTTTAGTACATCATTAAATTAACAATGCCTCATTTCTGAGAATACTTACTTAACTTTTATTAATTATTATTATACAGTTAATGTAGAAATATTGACATTTTTTTTTTTTTTTTGAATTTATCAGCTGTTATTAACATGTAGACTTTTTTTGATAAAATTTCTGAATACAAACCATAATTACCTATACACTCATTACAAATATACATTTCTGAGAATATTCGTAGCTAATAAATTTGTAGGTTATGAAAAGATCAAGCTATTTACGAAGTTTTTAGAGGATGTTAATAATTTGATAAAAAAGGGTTAGAACCACGGATTTTCGTCGAAGGCTAATAGAAAAAGCAATGTTTCAATATTCGAAGACCCGATAAGTTTCAATTGCAAGCACACCACCTAAGAGCCATTTCTTGTTAACAGGCAAGAATTACGAATTATCTCGAAACGGGTATTAAGACTTTAAAAAACAGACTGATAGTTTCATTAGAGCTTTTCCACGTATTGACTGACCGCTTCGTTTGAATAATACCTAATTCAAGAAAATCCATCGCTCCTGTGTGCCGGAAAAGGGATCTATACAACCGTGTTAAATGTAGCGTAGATAAGTTATGAATGGGTGGAATCATGACTGAATAACTTATGAATGAATCTGTCTTAAGGCTCGGTCACACAGAACGCGATATTTATCGCGGCGATATAGCGCCACAGTTGTATTACTATCTATTCTACTATAACAGTCACATAGAGAGCGTTACGCTACAGCGATACATGCTGTAGCGCCGGGGCCGGCGATAAATTGATACAAATTACAAAAATATCGCCCTCCTTCGGCGTTATTCTCTACCTAATGTAGGCAAAAAAGTTAGCTAATACCCAAGTTAATAGGATTATTGCAGGATTATAACGGCGTGTTCACACAGAAGGCGTTATTTAGCGCGGCGCTACAGCGCTACAGTTGTGTAACTATCTTTTCCACTATAGCAGTCACACAGAGGGCGTTACACCTCAGCGATACATTCTGTAGCGCCGAGGCCGGCGTTACGTTTGAAAAATATTACAAGTGTATCGCCGGGGCCGGCGTTATGTTTGAAAAATATTATAGATACAAATTACAGTTGAAATTATTTAGTGGTAGTATTCATATAGATATGTTAAACACCGAATTATTTATATAAAAAGTGAGGAATTTTCCATTTTTATTTGATATGAGACCTCAAGCAAATATTTAAAAAAAATTATTAAAAAGGAGGTTACATGGAAAAAAATTGTGGAAGAGCTAAATATCACAAGTAATGTATTAATTGATATTATTATTATAATTATTGAACATTATAATAATTATATGTTATATACTTTTTTATCTTGAAATCATTTAAAAATTATACTTATGTTCTTTTGCTAATTTTAATTTTGCCTATACTAAAGACATAAATGATAAAAAAAAAATCTGTGTATATTGCATATTTAAAACGGTTGAGGAACAGATAATAACTATCCAAGATATATATGGCAATAAAAGAAATTCGTTACTACGAAATTAATATTAAATAGATATGTCATTTGAAGTAAATAATAATTTGAAATAAATCTGGTTTTACATAAAAAAAAGGAGAACGAAAGTTCATTATTAAAATATCTTCTGGAATATATTAAAAAATTATATATATTTGGTTATTCCTGTATTTCTTGCTTTGAAATTAAAAAATAAATATATATATATATATATATATTTAATTTTTTTAATGTTTCAAAGCAAGAAATACAGGAATAACCAAATAACATATCTTTTTTATAATTTTATGTTCATTAGCACAATTTTTAAGAATTGGAATGTAATACAATTTTGTTAAAGAGAAACAAGCTTCATCGCTAGAAACCGGCAGTAAATATTCGAAAAACGTGTAGCAAAAACTAACACTAGCAAAAAATTGTTGGAAAACCTAATAAATATAAAGCAAACAATTTCTTAATAAAAACAAATTAAAGTGAAACATAGTTTATTTATCTATAAAGTTATGGCCTTATTGTTAATTTAATTTTTTTATTATATTATTAAAAAATAGTTGGTTTTTCGATTGTAGATTGTCAAGTCCCCATTTATTTAGTGTTGAATGGAGTGATTCGTAATTTTTGACTAGTGGTTCACGTCAATAGTCATCTCAACAAAAATAATCAAACCAATCGTCCTCTCATATTTATTAATAGAAAAATTAAATTTTGAAATGTCACCAAAACAGTTGTTAATTAATTGGCTTAACCTCAAAACTATAAGAAAATATATTGGTATTTTGACTTTTGCTTACCTATGTATGTAATATATAACAAAGGGAAAGTATTCCTATCGCTAAAATTTTCGAATCTGAGTTTTCAACGGAAATACACGTTTTGAGGTCCCCTAAGCCCAAATAACCAAGTCCTGCTAAAGGGTCTGTGTGTCTGTTAGTCTGTGTCTGTGTGCAAGTGAACAGCCTAGCTCGAAAACGAAAACTCGCACGAAACTTAAATAGCGTATTTAAGGTTTTTATATATAAAATCAGCTAATCGGAAGTATCACTTTATATCAACAGCGAAACACATATTTACAGTTTTCCCAAAAACTGCTCTAACGATTATGATTACACTCGGTGTATCATTGCATAATTAAGTGGTCTTTAATATCATTTAGGTCTTTTCCCCATTAATCTCACTTTACAGAGTTTAAATGTACAATGTTTATATACATCTTTCCCTAAAGCACCTTTAATATGGATTATTTGAAAAAATCAACTCTCTTATATTGACAGTAACTATAAAAAATGTCTAAATATGAAGTTTAAAAGAATATGGCTTATGATGTTCAAAAGAATATGATAACTGGAAACTGAAGAAAAAAGAAAAATGCTTATCCTGGTTAAAAATGAATCTCCGGAAATAACAGTCAGAAGGTATACGTATAATATATCATTAGAAAGCGAAGAATTTCAGAAAAAATAAAATTAAATAAATAAATGTAATAAATAAATAGAAGGTAACGCAGAGTGACAAAAAAAATAAATAGAAATAATAATTTCAGAAAACTAACATTACTTAACGTAAATCATATCTTTCCAATGAAATTAAGCGAAATTCCTTTACTAAATGTAAACTTTTAAAGTACTTTTCTAAGTTTGAAAAAAAGTATTTAAAATCCATCGAATCATGCCAATGTCATTGTTTAAAATACTATTTAATTCTACTAGTGTGAAAGAAGTGAAATATAAAAATATTTCATGTATATATTTATAACCATAAATACTTTTGATGTGGTTCTATAACTCTAGATATGATATTATATTTAAATTATTTGGTATTTATTAGCCCTTTCTTAAAATTGTCAAGTAACCTTTTAGGAAATTAAATGAGTGAATAATTTTATGAATTTTCCCTTTGTGAAGCACCAACATTGTCGACTTCCAATTAGTGTGAAAATTTTCAACCTAACCATGGCAGGCGAAAATCTCGTAATTTCGTTTTAGTAAATTTTATAATGGAAAATGACAGTTTAATAACTTACAGTCCTACAATCCATAATCCTTTATATGTTAAATATTTAGATGTACTTTCAAATCTCTCTAGGCATATATGAACCTTTTGGTTGTCAGAAAAACTAACTTCAATTTCAACATTCTTCATTATTAATTTTAGTGATGTTTCTATTGGCGAACTTTATGCCTTTATTCGCAGTTCTATATGTCAACGTTGAAATCACCTACTCTGGAATCAACTTGCTCACTGTCTGTATAGATACAACTTTTCCAACTAGAAATATCACTAAAATGACATTACTCAAAAATCTTGAAATTATAGTTATTCATTATGTCAACTGAGAGACCTCAGAGACTGAAGTTATGTGGTTTATAAAACTAGATTTTCGTTGGCTACCGTCGATATAATAAATAGACTTTTTATAATTTTACTGGTCTTAAAGATTTGTTATCTCTAAGCTTTAAACTTTAGCTCCGTTTAAAATGCACTTCAAATTTTTTTAAATAACCCAACATTGCCACAAAATTATTTCTATTAAAAGAAGTGGGGTAAGTGAAAGTTATGTGTTACCCGCACCAGATTTTTTTTGTTACTTGTTTAAGCTGTTTAAAGATTTAATAAATTATTTAGATTTTACTGACCTAAATGAAGTTGGTTGGTGGTTTGTCTCTCTGGATAAAGAACATCCAGGTTATCAATCAATCCCCGATCAATTAAATAACACTACTTTTAAACTAATCAGGTTGTAGTTTCAAAATAAAAAAACGTCTGCCA